TATATATATAGGAAGAATTTTATGTGAAGGTATAATCTATTATTATCTATATATATGAATAGTGTGAAGGAAGCAACGGGTTAAGCCACGACCTAGGACACGAACAGCGAGAAGTGGGCCGCGTCTCCCTGAGGTACGGTGATATGGCTGCTAGTCGCGACGTCGAAGCAATTCTCTATAAATATCTTCCATCGTGGCCCCCCCTTTTTTTTTTTGCTTTATTTATTTATTTATTTATTTTTTCCTTGACGCACATGAAATCCATTCTCACTGCTATTTGTTTACTGGTGAAACACAGATAGTCTTTTTTGTGTTTTTGAGAGAGAGAACTGTCGGTCTCAATCATCATTGAGAAATAAAATTTATGATTAATTTATGTTGCAACTTTGTGGTATCCACGATTCCTGCCTTAAGTCATGAATTAAGTTGCGCCGATAGATGATGTTAAGGCATGATTCATTGTTTTTCCTTTTCTTTTTATGGTTTGAAAATACCACTATATTGATGAAGCAAAGTTTTAGTAAGGAAATATGAAGATATCATGAGGTCACGAACCCTAAATCAAAATAATTTTTTTATAATTTGATATCAATAACACATATAATAGTTCAATCAATATGACCTAATCAAACATCTAGAACATATGTGGATATTAGTTAAAAATAATAATTTAAAAAATATTCTAAGAATATCAGGATAAGAAATATTTCATTCGTACTGTAAAATATTTTCTAAAATATTTTTCTTAGTTAACTCACTATAGAAAATTACATTGGGCATAATAATGGAGTTCGATTACTATTTATTAAATTATTTTATCTTTGTTAGCTATTGACTTCAGCGTCAAACCAACTATATCAGGAACTCCACCTGATTTTAGTCTTCATGTAGGTCGATTATAAAGCATAGCATACCCTCGAGTGAGCATTCGAGTTACTTTATTAGTAAAAATTGAAAACTTATGTGAAGAATCTCTAAGCTATACTCCTAACGACTATGTGCCTAATATTGACGGTATTTTTTTTTTTTTGACTCGGAGAAAAAAAATATAGTGCCATTAATGTATGTACCCAGAATTATCAAAATCATTTTTTCCTATAAAGTTTTGATGCTTATATCATTAGACATTGACATAGGAAAGGAAATGTGATATTTAATTGTTTTCTTTTCTTTTAAGAAGAGAGTGGCCCTCAGCTTATTAGATTAATTTGTTCTGACTTTTATAGTAATTTCTTTTCTATGATCATTCTTTTCATTCAAATATGTCAATCAATGGAATTGAAATTATTTGTAAAAGTTCAAAAAAAAAAAGAGGGTAAAAGGTTTAGGGTGAGGATATCATAAAACTTGATGTGGTGTTCAGTTCTACGAACCACTGGAACCGAAATGCTGGAGATATTCCAAAACATTATTCATTGACTATAAATACCTCTCTTCCTTCCTCAATCCTTTCACTGTGTAGCCCTTGCTTTGCTTTTGCTTTTGCTTTTGCTTCTTCTTTTCTTCTTCCTCCTCTTACTCTCACTGCAGTCTTCTGTCTCTCCAAATCCTTCTCTCTCACTCTCTATCCTCTCTCACTGCAGTCTTCTGTGTCTTCAAATCCTTGTTTACGGACCATGGTTCTCTGGGGAGGAAACTGCTCAGATCTCTGGTGGGAAGTCACCTTTCAATCCGATCTTGGTCTGCTTGCATCTGAAATCTCGAGTTCTCTCGGCTGCTATCGTCTTTCGTGATCAGATCACGCAAGAAGACCACGGTGTGTCGCGAGAACAAACCTACCTAGGAGTTCATCTCTTTTCTTGGTTCTTGATATCACCCTCAACGACTTGTGCAAGATCCTCTTCCCGGTGGATCTTGCTTCTTGATCGGATCTCCTGTCTTTGATTCTTTCACCGACCGACCATCTTGGTTCCGAGGTCATGCATGGATCGAGCAGTCGGTTTTTGTGGGTGTGGCATCATCAAGATTCACATGGACTCGCTGCGGCCGGCCGTTCTACATGAGAATCTTGATGATGCTGCATCGGCAAACACATGACTAAATGCCTTCAGATACACCACCTTACCGATGTCGATGTCGAGGTAATTCATGTTGTCTTTGATGTCGTTGAAGCTGAAGTAGCAGCGAGTTAGATCTTTCATGGCCTTGAGTCAGTTCATACCTTTCTTTTGTTCTTCATGGATAGTTGCCCTCTTTCTTCCTTCCTTTCATGTCAGTGGCGATCTAATAGAGTGTGATGATTGAGATCTACAGATCTCTGGAAAGGCAACATTAACATTTATTCTTTGTTATTAGATGAGTCATTGTTGATGGTTTATGTTTACAGTATATATCTTGAGATCCAAAGGAGAAAAAGATTCCTTTTGCTCCATTCTATATCTGGTTTTTATTTATTATGCACTGATGGATATTTACTGCTGAATCAGAAAACAATGGATGAATCCACAAGTCTAATTTTATGATGCATTTTCTTCCAAGAGTCGTCTAACAAAAGAATGGAAGATGATAGGAAATACATCAGAAGAAATTTTCTCTTTGAAGAAAAATAAAAATGTCAAAAGCATATCAAGAACTATTGAATCTACTTTCTCAGGTTGCCGATCACTGATCAGAATAACAGCTGCATCAATAACAAGTTCATACATGTTAGTAGTAAGTGATTGCGACAGACATGATATGCAATCTTCATATGAGCATGTTGCTAGGGTTTTGTCTGCGGCGTGGAGAAGGTAGGATTCATCCTCATTATGGTAAGTGTTTGTCATGCAAAAACGTAGGAAGGATCAGCTGGCTAATTGCTTAATGCAGTTATATTCATGATATATAAGACATAAACTGAAAGGACTTTTTTTCTTGGAAGGTACAAATATAGTGCTTTAAATTTCTTATTTTCTTTTCTCAAATCCAGGATTAGATACTTAAGATTAATGTATCGTTTCGGTTTTAGTAAGATTGGTAGTATACTGCTTTACCACAATGATTATAGCAAATGTTCTTAATCAAGAATGCTAGATTTGCTCAATATAAAAAATGATTTGTTTTGTGTTCTTGTTTGGATGCAAAAATCCTGCCACATTTACTGAAGGTAAAATTAGTTTTCTTTTCTTTTTTTTTTGGGGGGGCTGTCTTTCCCTTCTCTTTTCATTTTACAGTAGAATTTCTTTTCCAAAGAGATATAAAGTTAGTAGTGTTATGAAGCTACAAAAAAAAAAAAAGGATAGTGAGAAAAGAATTAGATATGTGGTAAAGAATAGGTCATAAAACTCAATGAAGCAAAAGGAGTAAGCAAACTACACCCATGAAGGATAAAGAATAAGTGCATTGAAAGAACACAGTTCATCATCACCCTCTTGTTCCTCAATCTCCTTTTTTGTGCATGGTAAAGTTTGACTATGCCAACTTATCACCAAGAGGGAAGGAAGAAATTTGAAACTAAAATGTAGATGTGCCAAAAGGAACCCAGAGATGTTGGACACAAGGTACTGTTGCCAATTAATACTCATCCAACCTTCATGCATGCAGGTGGGCCTTCCTTGGGGTACATCCTCCAAGTTATTATTTGTGGAATGGACCAACCTTGAAGGACATTCTTGCCCAGAATTGTCTGGAAAATATCCCTTGATTTTTTTTTTCTTCTTTTATGAACAACAATTCAAATACTTTTTGTACAAACCTACATATTTCAAGTTATATGCTAAAAGATGGGTTAATTATTGGAATCTTGATATATATCGTATGTGGAGTTTTTCTCAGATTAGAACCTTGAAGTGTGTGTTTGAATAGGGGATCTACATTAGAAGTATGGCTTGAGATACTAGATGTACCACAAGATTGAAAGTAGAAGAATTGCAGGACAGAAATAAACCTGAGTGCAATCCTTTTTCTTTTTCATGCTTAATGTAAAGTGATAAGAATACATTATGTTGAGGAAAGAAATGTAGAAACAAAAAGCACCTGAAGGCAAATGTATCCAGTTTAGCAAACTTCAGCATATCCCTAGCATAAGATACATAAGAATGAATCTTGTGTCTCACTTGTTGATGGTTGAGGATGACTTGGATGCATTCTGTATTTTTGATCTGAATTGATCTTGTCTTCTTAATTTCCGATGAAGGATGACTTGAAGCTTGTGGACAAGAGTGCAAATCATAATACAACAACAACAACAACAACAACAAATCATAGAGCTCTGTATAAAATAATATTTTTAGTTGAAACAGAAAACATTTAATTTGTATTTATAATTTTCATTTCAGAGATTAGTGCTTTTTTCTAAAAATAGAATAAAAAAAAAAGAAGAAGAAGAAGAAGAAAACCCTGTCATTTGTGAGCCCAAATATGTTCACCTCTACATTACGGTGCAGCTTTCCATGTGCAAGCCAGTCTTGGCTGTAGCAAGTGAAAGAGGATGGATGGGACTAGAAGGACTGCCAGGCTCTGGGATTTCTTATCTGTAACTACAAGGCAAAAAGGACTGGCTGTACTCGCTCTGCCACTGCATCACAGCCCCAAGCTCCTACCAATCACCTTGAATGGAGTTTCATCAAAATCTCAGATAATTTGGCATGTGTCTCCTCCACCAACTGGCTAAGCTATGTAGGACGAGCTCTAAACGATCTGGATCCATTCTCATAGCTTATTAGTCATCATCTACATCAACACCACCAGCAATGTCGAGAACAGGTTGTGCACCTTGTAGAGCTTCTTCGACTGCCAGGCAGGCCGAATGCTATGCAATTCTCTTGAAAGCTTGAGGAGGGCGAAGAAGGAAGGAAGTCCGATGCAAAAGTAGATGACTGTTTAGTGTTTCTTTTTCTCTTGACATTTTTGAATTACCTAAATTTGTAATGTGATTTATCATCAGTGAGTCCTTTTCCCTTCCAAAAATAAACGAGCTAATCAAACCACTATTTGGGATTGAATCCACTGTCATTTGTTGGACAACCAAGACGATGATGGAAAGATATTGCAGCTCCATTTTAATTGCCCATGACCAACAATTTGGGCTAAAACACTCAGAGAATTGAATTCTAATGAGGCAAAACTTCTAAACACCATCTGGCAATCTCGTTAAATCAGAAACGAGACGGCCTTTACCAGCATTGCTGATAATACATATTATATGGCAACAACTAACATAATACTTGCCATAAGGATAACAATAGGTGAGGCTTCTTCTGGGCAGAATTTGCCAAACGAAAAGGTGGCTCAAAGTCATGCATTAGTGTCAAAAACGAATATGATTAACAACATAGCCTTATAATAGAATTGATTTCTCAAGTGAAATCTACTTCTATTGATAAATTAATCAGACAACCCTGCGTTGCTCCTCAGATGCTCCTTAAAATCCATGATGTCACCCTCCCACCCCGTCACCGCTTGGTTCTGGCATACCCAAATCTCCTCAGCCACCTGATTGATCAATCTGAAGTCGTGGCTCACCAACACCAGACCCCCATCCCAGTCATTCAGTGCTTCTGCTAGGGAGTCAATGGTCTCGATATCCAGATGATTTGTCGGCTCGTCGAGCAGCAGCATATGAGGTTGCCTCCAGGCCAGCCAAGCAAAGATCACCCTGCTCCTCTGACCATCTGACAAGTTCTTCATTGGCATCACCTGTGCCTTTCCTGACAGTCCAAACTTTCCGATTGCAGCCCTCATCCTCTCTTCCTCGTTGCCTGGGTATTCTTTCATCATGTACTGAAGTGCTGACATCTCTAAATCAAGCTTCTCGGCTAGATGCTGATGAAACTGGGCAATTCTAAGATGATTGTGCCGCCTAACCATTCCATCAAGAGGAATAAGATCACCGGTCATCAGCTTGAGCAATGTGCTCTTCCCAGCACCATTGGGCCCTACTAGTGCTATTCTGGAATCAAGGTCCACTCCGAAATCAAGGTTCTGATAAATGAGGTTATCTGGAGTGTAGCCGAAAGTTACTCCCACAAATTGCAGGACTGGCGGAGGGAGTTTACCGACATCCGTGAAGCGAAAGACCAACACTTTGTCCTTCACAACTTTTTCTGTCAGTCCACCGCGTTCCATCTTGGAAAGGGTTTTCTCCTTACTTTGGGCTTGACGGGCCAGTTTAGCAGAACCATGACCAAAACGAGCAATGTACTCTTTCATAGAAGCAATTTGCTCCTGCTCCCACTTGTACTGCTTCATCTGGTTTTCTTCTAGCTCTGCACGAGTCTGGACATATTGGTCATAGTTGCCAGTGTAGAATTTAAGCTTCTTGTTCTGCATGTGGATGATGTTGGTACAGACACCATTAAGAAAATCCTGAGAATGTGATACCACAACTAAGATACGATCAAGCTTTTTCAGAGTCTCTTCCAACCAGACACATGCCTCCAAATCTGCAAAAGAAAGACAAGAAGAAGCAATCCTAAGTTTCACGCATAATAAAGTATATACCATTAGGGGTGTTACTTATCAAAAAATGTGTATTCCTTCAGCGACAGAAGCTGAGCCAAAACTATGGAAAAAGAGCCAAACACTGACCCAGATAAATTATATATATAAATATATGACTGTGGATTGATCAAGTGATCACAGTTTACATACAAGCAATGCCTCCGAAACCCTTTTGGAAAATAACCACTACATTTATAGTGACAGCACGAGGAGGTGGGCTGTATCCACCACCCAATTAACCTTCGAGCAGATAGGCACCAAGTACGAAAACAAGGACCGGAGCACTCAACATGAAATATTTTTTTTTCCAAATGCTCCTCGGGTATAGCATAACATTACAGATTGATAGGAGTAACTGTTCTTCCTTCCCTATAGCCCAAACCACTTAAATAGTTTAACAGTCTATGTAAACCATGTGATAACCCATAAACAAATCTAGCAATTGAGGCACCTATCAAAAATACCAACCACTCAAGCTCCAAGAGAACTGAGCCAAACTGCTTTTGTTTTAGATTGAGATATCATTAATCAGAGTCGGCATGGTCCATCAAACCTAACAGAAGGTTCCAGATGAGAAATTATCTACCATAAGAAACAAAAAAAGAAAAAGAAAATAGAATGTGAAGGTTATCGGCCCATTACAAACAGAAAAATAAAATTCCTTCATATGAAAAATCTAATTTGGTGCTTTATCAAGTCATGCATGAAGAGAACCAACAGAAAATTAATTTCCTAAAATTGAATGATGAACTAGATCCTTTACCAAGATGATTTGTGGGCTCATCAAGCAAGAGGATGGTAGGGTTCATAAACAATGCTCTAGCCAATGCAATCCTCATGCGCCACCCACCAGAGAAGTCACGTGTTTTCTTTGCTTGCATTTGTTTATTAAAACCAAGTCCATACAAAATCTCAGCAGCCCGCTTCTCAGCTGTGGATGCATCTATTGCTTCCAACCGCTCATAGATGCGATCCAAAGCTTCTCCACCACCACCATCCTATGAGGAATCAAAAATTAAAATAAAAAATTACTAATAATGTACATAAACTAGTCATTATCTGTAATGTATATTGATGCCTATGAACAAACCTCAGCAGCTAACATTTCAGCTTCTTTCTCCAATCTCAATCTTTCTTCATCGCAATTGATGACAGCCTCCAGGGCAGACATATCTGAAGCTTCAATCTCTCGGGTAAGGTGATATATATCCATGTGCTCAGGAATGGGTAGCTCTCTGCATCCTATTGCTGAGAGGAGAGTGGACTTCCCACAGCCGTTCAGTCCCAACAAACCATAGCGCCTACAAGAAGAACAAATTACGACAATCAACAAACCAGGGTATCAATTCCAACTCTAATATTAAAGAGTAGATGTTGACATACAATACCTGCCATAGTTGAGCTCCATCTCAGAATCCACTATAAGGTCATGCCCATGAAAGGTTAATGATAAGGACTCAATCTGGAATGTACACAATTTGCAATCCATTAGAATGACAAAAATCCAAGGTTTATAAAGTGAAAGTTGAATAAATTCATAGCTAACAAAAGATATGGCAAAAGCAACAAATTTGTTAACTTAATCATCTTTTCAGTACCACAACAATGGAGTCCAGAAAGCTTCTAGTCATAGTTCCATGCACCTACTTATATTCAAGTGATAAAATAAATATCAATGCTATCTTAAATAAGTCAATGATGATTCAAAAATTCCAAATGGATGAAATATCTCACCTCTCAACTTGCAAGTGGGACAATGAACCCACCAAAAGTATACCATATTGCTTTTAATAATAATAAAATAAGGAAAAAAAAAGAGTGTGCTAGAGCAGATAATGAAAATATTAAGAGCAGCAGTCATGTCAACTACTAGGAATAAGCATTATTGCATCAACAATCTGACTAAACAAATTCTTCAGTTACTTCATCCTTAAAGATGCATCTCTTCTAAAAATTGCTGCAGAACAAACAACATTATGATTATCTTTTTCACTTGCATCATACTCCTCATTTCATTAAGGTCACTTTTGAAACCTTCCAATTAATAGTATAAAACCTAGCACTACTTCAGGAATTTCTTGATCGGATAGGTCATTCAAAGAGGATTCACAACACAATTCACGGAATCTTTAAGAACTCCAGGAATTTCCTAATTGTATAGGTCATTCGAAGAGGATTCACAACATGATTCATGGAGGAAATGAAATATTGTAGTAATTTAAAGTCATCTAACTTGCAGAAAAGTTATGTTGCATTGACTATCTGTTCGAAATCAGCAATTTCTCATACTAAATAGAAAATACTAGCACATGACCCAAAATACTTGAATAAGCATTGTGTTCCAATCACATTACGAGCTGCAAACAACATATTTCTGCAAGTGACTTTCGTGTCCTGGAAAATTGTACCTCATCATCCAAGAGAATCTCATTTTCACTTAAGAGTTTCAAACTCAAACCCTAGTTGAGTTTATAATAACAAACTGATGATCTTTCACATTAACGTGCCTTGTTTTCACTTACTAGGTAAGTGTCGGCTTATCCGAGAGGGAACAAAATCTAATTTTTACAAACCAATAGAGGAGAGGGGGAAAAAAGTTACATGGATATCTCTGGAGACGGGATGCGAGGCGAGTACACCAGTGCAGGTCCGATCCGAGATCCGCAGCGATCCAGCTCCATCAGTGAGCTTCTCCACAGCCGCCCCGTTCGGCACCCCGGCGGTCGCCTTCGACGACGTGGCAGAGGACTTCCCTCCCCTCTTCGCTGCCGCCGCGGCCTTCTTGGCCGCCGCCTTCTTCTTGCTCGCGTCCAACACCATCCAGCAGCTCGAGTCGCAAACGGAGACGAACAATCCACCAAATTCAACCAAATTTTACAAGAAAAGAAAACTTTCCAAACGAATGAATCGGTAGTTCGAAGGGGAGAAAGGGATCGGAAGGCGGCGTGGGAGTGGAGACGAACGGAGACGAACAATCCACCAAATTCAACCAAATTTTACAAGAAAAGAAAACTTTCCAAACGAATGAATCGATAGCTCCCGCAGTTAGGGTTCCAACTTTTGTGGGCGGATCGCCGTTTTATTGCAATTGCCTATTTGTTCGATAGCTTCCCAATTGCGGCCATTTGTAGGCTCATAGTGCTTTATTTGTAAATATTTGCATTAACATTGTGACGCGGTGACTTAATCCACCGTCCACGTCTTGATATAAAATAATCTCCATCGTTCGTCGGTAGTGGGGACAACGTGGGCGGTTAAATTGCCATCCCATGCGGTGTGTAAGCATTTGATTCCGGCACGAGGCGGCACGAGTGTGACAGCAATCCATGCCCGCACAACTGCTAAAGCGCCAATCTCAACGTATAGATCAAGACGACGGTGCTTTAATATATACGCACGCAATGATTATTATGATATGGAATTTGATCCGAGAATGCGATGATTCCAAGTGTGCCGACGATCCATGCGCGCACGATTGTCAATGCGTCAGTCGCAGCAACGGTAGAGATCAGGACGACATTGCTTTAATATGGACGCGCGCGATGACTACGAGTTGGAATTCGATCCCGGCGTGAGAAGGTTCGATCGAGGCAGCAAACTATAAGTTAAAGCGCTCGTCTCAACGGACGAGATGAGGATGACGGTGCTGTAATATCGACGCGGCACGACGATTATCGGTTGGTATTTGATCTGGGTGTGACCCAGTTCGAGTCAGCCAGTGATCAGCGATCCATGCGCGCACAGACTGTTAGTGTCCATTTCAACGATAGGGATCAGGAGAACGGTGCTTTAATATCCACGCAGAAAATGATTATGAGTTGATATTTGGTTCGAGTGAGCCAACAAATCCATGCGGCCATGACTATTAAAACGCCAATCTCAATAATGGAGATCAGGACGATGATACTTTAATATCCGTGCAACGATGATTTTGAGTTGGTGTATGATTCGGGTGTCAGTCAGTTCACATGAGCCAAAGATTAATGCACGCACGATTGTTAAAGCGGCAATGTCAATAGTCGTGATCAGGACGACGGTGCTTTAATATCCACATACACGATGATTGTAATATTTGAGCGTGACATGAGGCGGTTCGAGTGAGCCAGCAATCCATGCAGCCACGAATATTAAAGCACCCATCTCAACGGTCAAGATCAAGACGGTGCTTTAATATCCATGTAGTACAAGATGATCTCGGGGTTCGCTGTCACACCCAAGTTGACCAGCAGCTCCAAATACAACATCGAAGAATTCTTTCATAAAGCAATCATAATACATTGGACCAAAATAAGACTAGAATGAAAAGAATGCTGGCCTAATTACTAAGGTATGTGCCACGCCCATAATGGGACATGTCGATGGATAACATGGGACGAACCCCAAAGAGTATTATCCAAACTAGTGTATTAGCATGTCCCAATTATTGGCTTCCATAAAGCCATCTTTGTCTTTTTATCCTAATATTTTTTTGTTTTTGTTTTTGTTTTTCTCCCAACAATTTGAGATCAGGTTAGATTTGGAATTTGGGTGATGCATGGTTCAAGATCCATAGTGGAGGGGACTGAGACTATCATAAATGTAGTGGCTGTTTAGAATGGCTGGAATTGTTCCCAAGCATATTGGAACGTATCCTTCTGCAGATGGATGGAGAGTCATGAATTGATGTGTGTGCAAACTGAGATGGACAAGACATTTGTCTCTTCCAATTTTTTGCGGGGAGAAGAGGGATCAGAACCCAACACCAATCTACATGTTTTATCTCTCTTAGTTTGCCATGTTTCTTTGCTTTGGTTTTTGACACTAAATCAATTTTATCTATTATTTATTTAAATAAATTTAATTTGATAAAATTTATTTTATATATCATAAGTTCACACGGTAATATGCTGAATTGCTAATATATTTCAAAAAAGATAGATAGAAAAAAAATAAGAAAATTTAAATTATGATTGAGATTGAAGATTCCAAATCCTAATGATAGATTTTATGAAAATTGATCTTTAAGATAATGGAACCATATTAATCAAGAATATTACCTTCTTTGAAAGAAAGATCAAATCATATATTTCATTTGATGTAATTATATATTTTTTTTTATTTTTCTTGTTCTTGGCCTATAATAAGGGTCTAAAAGATTATAATGCACATATTTTTTTTTCATCTTATATATGATAGGTGCGAGGGTATAATTATGTTTCCATTTCATCCGTATCAAGTCCTGAAATGAGTCTGGTAGTTATCCAAGTTCATTTTTATTATCTTTTAGCTATTGTCTTTTTTTGTTTTTCTCTCATTCTGATTCCTTTATTATAAAAAAATTTCATTGCGATTCATCCTTACATCAGATTGATATCAAAGCTTTTAATTTAATCAAGATGTACAATCGTCAAAGTCAATTCATATCTCAATTATATTAACTTGAGATAAGTTTTTATATGGTGAAAGCAAACTCTTTTTATCTCTTATTTAAATAAATTTGAATGATTAGAGGTTATTTTACATATTATAAGTTGCCATAAGGTAAGATACTAAATAATTTTGATCTAGTTTGCTAGTTTATTCAAGGAAAAATATAAAAAAATAAAAAAAATAAATTAAGATTGTAATTGAAGATTCTAAATTCTAATGGAAGATTTTATGAAGATTAATCTATATGCTGATGGAAGCATATTAATAAAGAATATTATCTTCTTCCAATGAAAGATTAAATTATATATTTGATTTGATATGATTATTAATTTTTTACTTATATATTTTATACTTAGTCTATGAAAAAGGATTAGAATATTATAATACATAAATTAGAGATGAATCAATGAATCGTATTCTTTTCTCACTTTGTCTGTGCGTAATGCGTGCTCACAATTATATTTATGATGGTATAATTCCAATGTTCACGTATTAGATGTATGAAAGTATGAGACCTTTATCCCAAAAATTTACTCTTTGAGTTAAGATGAGTCTGGTAATTATCTAAATTTTTTATTATTATTATTATTATTATTATTATTATTATTATTTTATTTCTCTAATATAAAAAAAATCTATTACTATTCATCCTACATGGGTTTCACAGCTCTCCTTTGCAAGAACTAATGCTGCAGATGGTAGTGACGAATGATGGAGAAAAAGCTTGCATTTTACATGGACTTTTGGTGACAAGTAATGTGGCCGGAATGGACCACCGGCAGCAATTCTTTATTTTCAGCAACTTAAATTTAGCTAATATAAGTGCTAAGTTTCACCAATTTTGGGTGCTTTTAAGCTAATATGTGGTTACAATTAGGCTTAACTTATATATATAAAAAAAGAAAAGAATAAAATTGGGTGCTCTCAAGCTTGTGAATTTTCAACACATCACCATCAATAAAAAGAAAGAACTATCCACTCCCATATCATGAACTATCCACGAGCTAGCTTGGCTGCACAAATATTCCCTAAATGAGAACCAAAAGATGAGAGAGAGAGAGAGAGAGAGAGAGTCTGAGCATTGTTATTATTAGAGTCAATTGCAAGTGATGACACTTTGGGTTTCAGCATTGTTGTCAAACTATTGTCATCTGTTTCCTAAAAAAAATTCTTGGTAGATCCTAATAAGCTTACTTTATAGATGCTAGGCATAAGTCCACCTAAATATATCGTTGGAGTCTAGTTTTGTATTATGTTTATAGCCTTAACATTTGAGAAACTTAAGTCAGACTCCCCTTCCTTCCTGTTTCAGCTTACAAAATCTTCTGCAATGGTCACCAGTAAATTTTTACTGTTATTAAGATTTATTCTACTATCCTATTAAACATATCCATGAGAAACACTTTCCCTTCTCATATTACCCCTCTTTTTGTGCCCCCTTCTAACGAAAGAGTAGTTTTTCTTTAGCTATGCAAGATTCTCTCCCCTTACGCATTTGATAAAAATATCACCTTCTCATGGTTAATAATTGGTCATGAAAATGAAACTTAATTCTTAGATCATTCTACTCTAGCAAGCTCATGGAGTTAATATTTAGATGCCTCCCTAAAAGTTAAGCTTGAGAATAGTTACAACTCCTCTGCTGCCTCCCATAGCCTTGATTTAGATGAGATAAATAACTCATGTCTTTTCTTAAAAACTAATCTTGATCGTATTACCCTCTTGACTTTCTAGAATTTCCTCTGTACAAATTCTAGAACATCCCAACAACAAATTTAATTATTATAAACTTAATTGGAAGATTTTTTTTTTTATTTCAAATTTTCCTCAAAAGAAGATATGGTGAAGACTTTCACTAGAGGCCATTAGTGGTCATTAGTTCATCTATCACCAAGCCCTATGATTAATGTCATAATGTCCAAATCTCTAACCCCTTATTAAATCCATTAGCTTCAGCTATTCACCCCCCTCTCCCAATCTCCCTCTTGAATATATATAATCCAATATTCTTTTATAAATTACAATCAAATTAAAAAAAATTACTCAAAATTAATGGTCTCACTCTCTCTAGAGTAAAAGGTGCTTGACCACTTCAAACTTGTCTCAATGACTTTAATTGAGTTGAATCTTTTTTTCAAAATATTATTTATAAAAGCATTTCAGTCTTCTACTTCAATTATGACCTAGTGGGTCATAAAACTGAAGATTACCCCTCTATTTTCTAGCTTCAAAACCCTCCTATCATAACTACACGTTATGTTAGGATTTCTTGCTTGAACCGGAGGTTGAAGATGATTAGCTAATTCAACATAAATCCAATCCTAAAATGACCAAATCCAACTACTTTCCCAAATCTCACTCAACCTCCAATAATCCTAACTAATTCAAATTCCATTATGGACCCTTGGGCTCGATTCAACCTGATCCGATCGAGCCATCTAAGGTAACATCTCACTTGTTAATTCCTCACACTGAAGCTTCTAAAGAAAATCCAATTATTTATTAATCCAAATCTATCATACAATCTAGTTGGAAAAGGTTTGCCAAAGCATGACAATTAATACATCTTCTCGAATCAAGGCAAATAACATCTTGATGCTTCCTTAACTCCGTCGCCCCCTACTTTAATTTCTAATATTGTTATGTCCAAATCTATCTTGGACACAATTGTATTTTACTTTGATTCCTCTACC